GATGGCCTCTGATCCCCCCCCCGTCACGCCCCCCCGTCGCGTCTGCTACGGAGAGGAGGGGGATCGGGCCCGCGAGCGCCACAGCGTGCGAGCACCACAGCATGTCCGTCGGCATCACAGTACGCCTGTGAGCAGCGCGCCGTGCCTGCGCGGGAACTGGCACCCTCCCCGCGTACGCTCTGATGGGCCTTTTTTCCTCCTCCACCACCACCACCACAAGTTGAAGGGGGGAAGGAGGAGGAGGAGGAGGAGGCGGAGGAGGAGGAGGAAGAGGACCCCCTACCCCTCCAACTTCTGGTGGTGGTGGTGGTGGAAAACAGGCCCATCACGCTCTGTACCCTTGCGGGGAGGAGGGGGGTAGGGAGGGGGGTCGACCCCCCGTAATTAACCGAACGTTACGGGTTCACCGAAGAGCCCAGCAGGCCCACCTCGTCCTCGGAGGGCTCGCTCCACGTCGCGAGCACGCTCTTCAGCGTCCTGCCCGGGCCGCGCCGCAGCCGCGCGCGCCGCGGCTGGCCCTCCGCCCGCCGCACACGCACACCCCGGGGGGGAGCAGGCAGAGGCCGTCCCCCTGCGCGCCGACGGAGATGCCACCACCGGCGCTCCCCCCCGGCGTCCCATCCCGCCCCTCGCAGCATGGCTCACGAGCACACGCGCGTGCGTGCAGGCATTGTGCGCGAGAGCACGCCGAGCAGCCCGTCGGCCTCGTGCCCTCGCCGCTGCAGCGCCGTCCGTCGACGTGCGGGGACCAGAGGCGAAGGCGTGGGCCCTCCGTCGCGCCCGAGCTTCCCCGCCCTCCCCTCTGGGAGCCCTGCGGGTCGCTGCTGACGCTGCGGCGCTCTGCTGCTGGGACGACGCTGGCTCGTCTCGCCTCAGCCAGCCGTCCACGAACGGCATGAGCGGGCGGGCACGCGAGAGAAGTGCCTTGCCTGCCGCTGCGGTGCGCCCAATGGCACGCAAAAAGAAGATATGAAGGCTTGATCCGTGGCTACTCCTCGAAACGACGCCCCGATGACGACCCAGGGGTGTCTCCGAAGAGAGACTGGTCAAGAGGGGGTCGGTGACCTAAGCAAAACCTCGACGGTAAGGCTTGCCTTGCACATCCCTAAAACTTGCAGCCAGAGCGGCGCTTCGTGCGGTGCGTTTCCTTTGTGGCATGCTTTCTCGCACATTGCCCCGCGCATCCAGGCATTGATGACCCGTGCACAAACTGCGCCCCGCCACCCAGTGAGTGGCCGTAGGCGTGCCTTGCAGTCTGGCCTGACGTTGAATCACGTCGCAACAAGTCGATGCCGAACCTGCTGCATTTCTTCACACTGGGTTCAGGTGTGTGGCGTCATAATGATTCGCCGTGGCTTCAATTGGGTTGCTATGCCTTGCCCCGCGTTGCTTGATCTCGATTGTCCCTGAACATGATGACCGTGCAGAAAAAGTCTGCGCAAGCTACGTCCCTGTCGCCATGCCCAGATTTGGTGATTCGTCAACTCTGGCTGACTCTCTGAGGGCCTAGACGGGATATCAAATCAGCCAACGTGCCCTGAGGCACGAGTTGGAGTGTCCTGAGGTCCTTGGCAGAATCCCTCACGCCTCAGTCCTCAATCCTGAGAATTCTTCACGGGGCCCGGACCCCTTGCTCTCAAATCCGTCGACCCTGTCGGCGTGTGTGAGGGGCTTGTCCGTTCAAGTCGTCTTCTCCGTCATTCGTTGGTCGTCGTCTCTGTCGTCCCATTTCCCTGCCTCCCCCCTTTCCCTAAGCTCGTCGAAGCTCCCCCCTTGCCCAGGGACCTCCTCAGCGCGCCAGCCAAAGCAAATCTGAGCAACGTCGGAAATTGAGTCGAAGGGAAGCCCCTTCCCTTCGATCCCTCCCCCGCCGGGGGGGCGGGGGGGGGGTCCCCGGGGAGGGGGGGTCAGATACGACGCCCCCCCTGGGAGTCCCAAAGCCCCCAGACGGGCCAAGAGTGCCCCAAGAGGCCCCAGAGACAGTCCAAGAGCACCCCGAATCGCCGAACGATCTGTCCAAGACGCCTTGACGGCCTCCAGACGGCCCAAGAGGCCTGCAAAGCGCCCCAAGAGGCCTCCAGGAGCTTTCCCACGAGAGCCCCAAGAGGCAAAATTGATGGATTTCCCATACGTGTTTGGAAGATTTTGGCGTTCTTGCATCTTCCACTTCCCGACGCGCCAAGACGGCCCAAGAGGCCCCCAAGATCGCCCCGAGACGGCCCAAGAGGCCCCCAAGAGGGCCCCTAACGGCCGAAGAGGGCCCCAAGACGGCCCAAGACGCCTCCAAGACGGCCCAAGAGGCCCCCAAGACGGCTCCAGGAGAGTGCCCAGACGGGGAACCCGAACGGACATTTCGAGCTCTCAGCCCCAAGAGGCCCCCAAGAGGCCCCGAAGAAGCCCCAAGAGGCCCCAAGAGGCTCCCAAGGGGCCCCCAAACTGCCCCAAGACAGCCCAGGAGAGCCCCAAATTGACCAGAAGGCCTCCAAGAGTGCCTCGAGACGGCGCAAGAGGAGCCCTGGACGGCCCAAGACGGCCTCAAGAGAGCCCCAGGCTGTCCCAAGAAAGTCTCTGGCCTCCTCCTCTTCCTCCTCCTCCTCCTCCTCCTCCTCCTCCTCCTCCTCCTCCTCCTCCCCCCCCTTCTGCTCCCCCTCCTCCTGATCCCTGCCTCCTTCTCCTCCTCTTGCTTCTCCTCCACATCCCTCTCCCCCCTCCTCCTCCCTCATCCACCTCCTCCACCCATCCTCCACCTCCCACTCATCCTCCTTCCCCTGCCCCCCCCCCCACGCTTCCATCTTCGTCGTTCTCAGGGTCGGCGGCACCAGCCGTAAGGCCTTCGCAATCTCTTGGGGCTCCCCCGCGTGCCCTCTGGGCTCACCCGATCGTTCCCGCATGACTTTTTCAGGGCCCGGAAGGCCCCAAGACGGGCCAAGAGGGCCCCAAAAGGCCGCCCTGACGGTCCAAGGGTGCTCCGAATCGCCGCACGATCGGTCCAAGACGCCCAGGATGGCCCCATGACGGCCCAAGAAGCCTTCGAGACGCCCCGAGAGAGCCCCAACACCCTTCCCACGAGGGCCCCGAGAGGCCAAAATCACTATTGGCCCTTTGGTTTTTTATATTTTTTTAATTCTCCACTTTTCGAGCTTCCGACGCTCAAGACGTCCCAAGAGGCACACAAAAACTCCCCAAGACGACCCAAGAGGCCCGCAAGAGCCCAAAACGGCCCAAGAGGCGCCAAAGACGACCCAACAGGGCTTCAAGACGGCCCGAGGAGGGCCCAAGAGGGTGAGCACGAACCGAAAATCCTAACCTTCCCCCCCAGAAGCAACCATGAGGCGCCAAGAGGTCCCCAAGAGGTCCCCACGAGGCCCCAAAGAGGCCCCCAAGAGGCCTAAAAGAAGCCCCATGAGGCCCCAAGAAGACCCCACGAGGCTTCAAAACTGCCTCCAAGAGGCCCCCGAGGGGCCTCCCACAAGATCCCAACGAACATCCTATAGGCTGCATTCCCACAACCCAGGCACGGTGGCGGAACGGCCGAAGGCCATTCGATCCGCCGCCCCCTGTCGATTCATCGCAGGGGTGTCGGGCATGCTAGACCCTTTCGGTTTTGGTTTTGGTTATGTTTCCAAAAGAACTCCTCCCGGGGCTTCGGCCCGTCCCAGCAGCCACCCGGAAAGATTGCCCATAGGTGGTTGCAAAGGGTTTTTCCTGCTCCAGACAGCTCCAAGACGGCCCAAGATGGCCTCCAAGACGCCTCCAAGACGGCCAAGATGGCCTCCAAGACGGCTCAGATGGCCCCAAGATGCTTCCAAGATGACCAAAGACGCACTCAAGACAGCCTAAGATGCCTCCAAGACGGCCCAAGACTGCCCAAGAGGTGTCCAAGAGGCCTCCAAGACGGCCCAAGAGGCCTCCGAGAGGTCCTCCAGGAGGGCCCGAAGATGCTAAAAACATTGATTTTCCTTGGGTTCTCGAGCGATGTTTGAGGCCCCCAAGATCGCCCCCAGAGCGCCCAAGAGGCCTCCAAGATAGCCTCAGGACTGCCCAAGAGGCCCCCAAGAGGGCCCAAAGACGGCCCAGGAGGCCTCTAAGACGCCCAAGGAAGCCTCCAAGACTGCCCTGGAGCACCCCAAGAAGGCCCTAAGTCGGCCCAGAGAGGCCCCCAAGACGGCTTCCGACGGCGTCAGACGGACTAGAAGCCCACCAAGACAGCCCAAGATGGCTCTAAGATGGCATAAGAGGCCTCTAAGAGAGCCCCCAGGAAGGCCCGAAGAGGCCAAAATCACTGACTTTCCGTTGGTTGTTGAAAGACGTTGGCGTTTGCCTCTTTTCGGCCTTCCGACGGCCCGAGACGGTCCAAGAGCCCCAGAAGATCGCCCCACGATCGCCCAAGAGGCCTCCAGGATGGCCCCAGAGCAGCCCAAGAGGCCCCCAAGACGGGCCCAAGAGGGCCCCAATAGGGCCCAGGAGGCCTCCAAGACGCCCAAGATGGCCTCCAAGACGGCCCTGGAGCACCTCAAGAGGGCCCCAAGTCGGCCCAGAGTGGCCCTCAGGACGGTTTCCGACGGTGTCAGACGGGCTAGGAGCCCACCAAGATGGCCCCGAGAAGCTCCCGACGGCCCCCAAGAGGCCTCCAAGAGGGCCCCAAAGATGCCTCCAAGAGGCCCCCAGGAAGCTCCCAGGAGGCTCCAAGAGTGTACCCAGAGGCTCCCAAGATGCCCCCTCCTCCTTCCCCTCCTCCTCCTCCTCCTCCTCCTCCTCCTCCTCCTCCTCCTCCTCCTTCTCCTCCACCTCCTCGTCCTCCTCCACCTCCTCCTCCGCCTCCTCCTGATCTTCCCCGCCATCCTCCCCCAAGTGTTCCCCGAAGGGTTTCCACAACGGTTGGGGGAACACATGGCCCGATACCTTGGCAGAGCTTTTGCCACAACGCTCGGCCACATGGGCGATTCTAGATGGCGGGGGGCGGCGGTGATTCGCCGTAGGCGTCTTCGATAAGGCAAGACACTGACAAGACAAGACATTGATACAGCAATGCCCCCTGCCGCGCCGCCGCCCCCCCCTCCGCAGGTCGGCGTCCACGAGCCCCGCCGCCTCGGAGAGCCAGTCCAGGCCCCTCTCGACTAGCGCGCCAGCCTTGGGGGGGCAGGGAGGGCGTCGAGGATCGAGGATCGAGCGTCGAGGATCGAGGAAAAAGGATCGAGGAACGAGGCTCAAGGAACGAGGATCGAGGAACGAGGATCGAAGAGGACCATCGAGGATCGAGGGTCGATCGAGGAACGATGACCGAGGCAGCCCGCAGGGCCCCTGACCGAGGAGGACGATCGAGGATCGAGGACCATCGGGGGTCTAGGAGCGTCGAGGAGGGTCGAAGGTCGAAGTGGAGGGGGCTGGGTGAGCCTTCGCGGGAGCCTTCTTTAAAACATGCAAGAAATACGAGAACGGCGCCCGTGCATCGCACCATGCCTGGACTCCGCTGGTGCCCCGCTCCGACGCGGCACGGTGCACGGGGGGGGGGCTCCAGCACGGGCGAGGGTGCGCGCGCAGGCCCGCAGGACTCATGAGAGCCTGGCGCCCCGATTGCTTCACGACGGGCGGCTCTGCCTTGTCTCGAGCCCCAGGACCCTCGCGGACCGATCCAGCTCGGGCACTGCCACAGAAGGATGGAGTCTGGGGGCCCATGGCTCCAGACGAGTCCCACCAGCCCTTTGGGCGTGAGTGGTTTAGAGAGCCCGCTCTGTCCTCAACCCCCCTTCTTCCCCTTCGGGGAGAGTTTTACCCCTCCCCCTACCCCCTCCCCCTGGACCTGGAGAGGGCGGGCCGAGCGTCGTCAGGGGGGTCTTTTTCGACTCCTGGGAGGGCCAAAAAACGACGACCCTCTCGAGGATTCTGGCCCCGACGGGGGGAGGGAGTTTGGCCCCTTCTGCTCTTCTTTGAAGCAAAAATCATTGATTTTACTACGGTTTGGGCCCCATTTTGGCGTCCTGAGGAGGCCGCGCTCATCTGCCTTCATAGCAAAATCATTGATTTTACTAAGGTTTTGGGTTCATTTTGTCCTTCTCAGGGGGCAGCTCTCATTTGCGCTTCAGAGGAGGTCGCAAGAGGCCCCAAGATGGCCCCAAAAGGCCCCCAGGAGGCCCCAAGAGGCCCCCTCCAAGAGGCCCCCAAGAGGCCCCCAAGAGGCCCCCAAGAGGCCCCAAGAGGCCCCCAAGAGGCCCCCAAGAGGCCCCAAGAGGCCCCCAAGAGGCTCCCAAGAGGCCCCCAAGAGGCCCCCAAGAGGCCCCAAGAGGCCAAGAGGCCCCCAAGAGGCCCCACGAGGAGCCCGAACGACTCACACCAGGACGAGGGGCCCGAACGACTCACACCACGAAGAGCCCGAACGACTCACACCACAAGGAGGGGCCCGAACGACTCACACCAGGACGAGGCGCCCGAACGACTCACACCACGAGGAGCCCGAACGACTCACACCACGACGCGGGCCCCGAACGACTCACACCACGAGGAGCCCGAACGAGTCACACCAGGAGGAGGGGCCCGAACGACTCACACCAGGACGAGGGGCCCGAACAACTCACACCACGAGAAGCCCGAACGACTCACACCAGGACGAAGAGCCCGAACGACTCACACCACGAAGAGCCCGAACGACTCACACCAGGAAGAAGGGCCCGAACGACTCACACCAGGACGAGAAACCCCAAACGACTCAAACCACGAGGAGCGCTTTCTCTCCCTCCTCCTCCGCCTCGTCCTTCTCCCGTTCCCATCACAAGGGGGATGTACAAGGAGGCGGGAGGAAGGAGGAACAGGGGAGATATGCGGGGGGAAGCGGACATACGCCTGAAAAACACGACTGTCGGCATGCTTCGCAAGAGTTGCTGTTTTGAGATGGGCTGGTGGGGATACGCGAAGCGTAAAGAATTGCTTCCCGATGCTGCAGCTTTCTCGTGACGTCGGCTCTCAGGCACAGCAGCTGCCGTCCGGCCTGGGAGTGCGATCGGACTCCGCAGCGCGCCAGGCGAAGGTGGTCCGCCTGTGCCTCGGCCCCGCAGGTCGGCACCGCCCCCTCGGCTCCGTGACCACAGGTCCGGTGGGGCTCCCCTCGGCTGCTCCTCCTCCTCCTCCTCCTCCTCCTCCTCCTCCTCCGCCTCCTCCGCCTCCTCCTCCTCCTCATCCGCCTCCGCCTCCGCCTCCTCCTCCTCCTCCGCCTCCTCCCTCCCTCCCTCCCTCCCTCCCTCCCACCCTCGAGATGGGCGGCAGCCCGCTGGGGCCGCGACGCGCGAAGCGCGAGCATCCGCGCGCCCCTGCGGCACGCCTGACACTCGATGTCTTTTTCGGCACGCCTGCTCGCTGCTGCCCCCTTCCCCGCCTCATTCGGGGGCGCGTTAGCATGGATTAGCGATCCATGAATCGGGGGAGGTGCCCTCCCCAAAATGTGGTCGGTGCCGCCTCGCTCGGCGGCAGAAATCCGCGATTCCCCATGGAAACGGGACCCGTCGCCAATCCGCGTCCCCTGAGTCCATGTTCGCGATCGCCTGACTCGTGTCTTCCCCTGCACGGAGTCACGCGCTCCTCCCATGAGCACGGGGAGCCTGATCGGGCCCGCTCTGGGTGACGAGCCACAGCGACTCCAGCTGCCTTCACGGGAGCAAGCTCGGAGGGGGGCAGAGGGCGAACGTCAAGCAGGAAGGAGATGGGAGACAAAAGGAGGGCGAGGCTGGGAGAGGAGCAATTCAGAGAGAGGAGCAGCGAGAAGAGGACTAAAGGATGTTCCCCCTCCCCGATCCACCCCTATCTGGATCCCCCTCTTTCCCATTCACCCCTTCCTCTATTACCCCCTCTGCGTCCTTCTCCCCCAGTCCTGCCATCCGAGTCGTATGGAAGAGGAACGAGTGAAAGAGGAGAAAGGAAGAACGGGCAATAATGAGCCTGCCATTCCTGTCGCCCCAAATCAACAAAAAACGTGTTCCAAATATGGAGACGTCTTCGCGATCGGCAAAACATACCAGAGTGAAGCCCCTTGAGCGCAGTGCATCCACTACATACTTTCTGGCACTCGGGCCCGAGAAAACCTCAAATCAGCATCATGGCCTCTTCAATTAGGAAGACGATCCCCCCCAAGACGGGACTGCGACAGAAGTTCGAGAGACCGTCCTGAGGGTCATAGACCTGCAGTCTCTGCACGGCACCATGGGGAGACCCTCCTTCACAACAGACTAGTGGCGGCCAGAACAACAAGCTCAAAGTTGGCATCTAGACAATCTTGAAGACGCTGAATCACACATGCCTGGCTCAAGCCTGCCGCGCTTTGATATATCCCGAGGGATGTGGAGCAGATGGCACTTCCGAGTGCCAGCGCGGCACCGGATCCCCAAACGTGTGCCTGCACGCGCCATCGGCACGTCCCGAACAGGGTGGAGAAGCCCGAGACAGGCAGAGCAGCAGCAGATATGACAGCGATGGTCACACGATGACAGCCAGCTCGTGTCACGGGCAGAAGGATGTGCATGGAGCAAGTGCAGGTATCGGGGCACGTGTCCGAAAGCAGCACTCGCGACTCCGAACGGTAGGTCATGGACGCAAGATCTGGGTAAAGCAGTCAGGAGGAGACGACACGGCGTCAAGAGACAGAGGCGCCCAGTGACCAGGGGCTTCATCCGTCTGAGCGACATCGTCAAGAGCAACTTCATGTTCTCCTCCCCTGCGGGCCCTTCTGGGGAGGCAGCAGCGGCGATCGAGGCCGGAGGGGGCGTGAAAAGCAGCGTCGAAACTGAAGCAGAGGAGTCGCGCGAGGCGTAACAGCGAGCGGATGCGCATCGCAAACATTGAGATGGGTAGCAAGTCCTGGCAGTGGTGCTGCTACGAGTCGCACGACCACTGTAACGGCCCTTCTGAAGACCATGCCTTGCAGTTGATCCCGCTTGCTTCACAAACATGCAACTCGCCCCTGCCTGCTAGGTATCAGCTTGTCTCCAGATCCGTCTACATTCAAAAGTCTCAATTCCTGCTCGACTTTATGTGTGCTTATTCCGTCTATGCAACGAAGGTACATATCTACATGTCTAGATGTCTGTTCGTTCATCCACCTGTCTGTCTGTCGTTGCGTGTCTGTCTTGTGAGATGACGTCGCGTAGGTACGTGGATCTGCATAGTTGTCCTTCTCGCTCCCGCCATATCTCCATCGACCCGCCATATCTCCATCGACCAGCGCGTAGATATGGCAGCTAAAGGGGCATCACCTGTCTCGCATGCATCTGCCAATGCGCTTGCAGCGGTTGGCGTGTGTCGGGACAGTGTGGCTCCCCGTCACGTTCGCTTCCTGCGAGGGAAAAAGCCGCCCGCCCCTCCCCCCCACCCAACCCCTGCCACGTCCAGGCGAACATGCGTTCAGTTGGCTGGCCAAGTCCCTGCGTGGTTGCTCCTCCCAACAGAAAAAGCTCGCCAAGAACCAAATCGTGTAGGGGAAGGAGGAGGAGGTGGAGGAGGAGGAGGAGGACGAGGACGAGGACGAGGAGGAGGAGGAGAGGAGGAGGAGGAGGAGGAGGGGAGGAGGAGGAGAGGAGGAGGAGGAGGAGGAGGAGGAGGAGGAGGAGGGACGAGGAGGAGGGAGAGAGGACGAGGAGGAGGAGGGAGGAGGAGGAGGAGGACGAGGAGGAGGAGGAGGGGGAGGAGGAGAGGAGGGAGGGGGGGGTGGGGGGGGGGGGGGGACGGTCCGTGGGGTCTCTCCCCCCCCCCCTGGGGGAGCGCGCGTGCAGCCCAACCCGCCCCTCCCCCGTCCCCCAGGGTGACGCAGGGCAACGTCGAGAGAGTCTCCACGCAGGCCAAGAGGTCCCCAGATGGCTTGCAGGGCGGTCACGACTGCCCCCAGGTCATAGAACTCAGTCGGGCGTGTCCCCCTGCAGGGGGGATCTTCGACGACAGATAACATATGCCCAAAACTACGATTCAAAACTGGTCACACAAAAAAAGCACTTCAAACATAGTCCCTCGGTTTTTTACTATGCTTGAATATTCCTCCCGTAGAGGGACAGGCCCGACTTAATCATAGATGATGACCCAATGCGGCATCCAGGACGGGCCAAAATGGCCTCCGGGGCTGTTGCGTTGGCCCAAGGAAGGCCCAACACGCCCCCAAGGCGCACCAACGAGCCTCCAAAAGAGCCCCCGCGAGAGCCCGACGATGCTAAACTCGTGTATGTCCCGCTTATGGTTAAAAAAAGCTTGCGCGGTGGAGCCTCATCGGGCGCCCGAACCCCTCAGGGAGACCAAGGGGCTTCCGAGAGGGCCTCAAGACGGCCCAGGAGGCCCCCAAGAGGGCCCCAAGACGGCGCAGAAGGGTCCCCAAGATGACCCCGAAGGCCCCGAGACGCCCCAAGGGCCCCAAGGCGGTCCAAGAGACCCCCACGGCAGCGCTGAGGCACCCAAAAAAGGCACCAGGGCGGCTCAAAGAGAATCCCGAGCCTGCCTCCGAAGGCGTCAGACGGGCCAGAAGCGCCACAGGGACAGCCCAAAAGGAACCACAGAGACCCCCAGAGGCATTCCCCCTGCGCGGCCGCCCGAGCGCAGTAGCGGAATCGCGTGGCAGTGCAACTGGATAGCAGCACGCACTGTATCACTATGCAGCGCACTGCACCGTAATGCACAATTGAAACAGCATGCGGCGCAGTGAAGTGCAGTACAGCAGAGTGCACGAGCAGTACCAGTGCAAGGGCAAACATCGGTACCCATACTGCTACATATCCCAAGACCAGTCTAGCCAGTTACCAGTAACGGTAGAAACACCAAAACCCATGCCAACATCAACGCTAGTACCAAAGTCCATGCCAATAGCAGCTGGGATAACCTACGCCTAAACAGTTGCCAAAAACAGTACTGGCAGCAGTGCAATCATCAATACCAGTATTGGTATCAGTATGAAATCTTACGCTATTGCACAGATTGCACAATACAATGCATCAAACAGTGCATTACCACGTGGCACCGTATGCAGCTCAGTACCGTGCGAACGCGACACGATCAGCAGATGAGTTAGATCCCCCCTCGAAACAACGCAACTCAATAAAGCAAACACACATCACGTCGAGGCACGCCAAGCTATGTCACGAGTGCCGTTCCCCACCCCACCCCTGTCCGAGAAGCACCCGGGTCGCTGCGTTGCCAGAGCGGCGACCACGTGCATGTGGGCGGACAGGAAGGATTGGGCGCGAGAGACCTTTCGGGAGAAAGCCAGCGACAGGAACGACTCAAAGCTTTGCGGACAAGACCCCATCTTAGAAGGGCATGCCATTACCCGCCTCCACTAATCCAGCCAGCCACTTGCGAGCATGTACCCATCTTGTTCGCACGCGCCTCAGGGGAATGTGCAGTCCTGATTGGCAAATTGAGCTGCATAGAGACCGAAAGAGGCTATCAAAGAGCCCTGCGGCAAGCTCTCGGGAGGCGCAGAACTGCCGATGCCACCTGTTTCGGCCCTCGTAGGCCAAGAAGATCTCAAGCTTCACATGCTCTGGCCTTCTCTCCTGGGGTGAGAAGCGAGCTGTCCCGTGTTTAGGCCGTCTGGGAACTGAGAAAACAAGGCGCCACGTATTACGGCTCTCCGAGTCCTCTGGAGCACAGCTATCCACGTCATGGCCTCCTCGAGCCTGCGGGTGAGCGTGTAAAACATGATGACCCTCTGGAGACAAGGCCAGGGCCTTCTGGCCGTTTCTCGGGAGGTCGCCACACTGACCGCTAAGCTGGCACGGTGGTGGAACTCGCCGCGAGCACCCCGATGTCGTAATTTCAGCTGTTCAGTGCACCACCGCAAAGGCCCAAGACAGCATCTGGAGGGCCTTGGGACCGTCTCGTGACGTCCCAGCACACAACCTCCCAGTGATCCAAGAAGCCCGCGGCAGGATACCGAGACAGGAGAGCGCAGGATCGAATCGATAATTCGGAGCGGCAATCGACATGAATCGGATCGGCGGAAATCGGCAGCCGAGTCGGGAAAAGTCGAATCGGCGGAAATCGGCAGGCTAGTAGGCCTCCCTTGAAAAATCGGAGCCAGAATCAGAACTCAGAGTCGAACCGAATCGGCATCGAAAACCATCGAGATCGAATCGACTCGAGCCGGAGGAGTCGAGACGAGCCCTGCCAAGATGGCCCCACGACCCCCCCCCCCATGGCGGCCCCCGAGCGCCCGAAGACCGCCCATCGGAGGCTTGGAAATGGGCACCAACACCAACACAGGGGGTTGCCTCCACCAGGGGGAGATGACCCTAGATTTCGGTGTTGGTGGTAATATGTCGGTCACCTCGGAAGCCAGATTATAATATATCAACCATCACCGAGATCGGGATCTTCTTCACTCGGTGGAGGCACACCGCCGATCTTGGTGTTGGTGTCAACCTCTCGGCCTGCGATGTTCTCGTTTTGTTGTTCGTTTTGCTCTACCCCTTCTCCTGCACCAGCGAAGCACAAGACGCAGCCGAAGCCTGGCAAAACAGCGTTCAGGCACAGCCCTGGGCCTCCCGGGCCCTGGCACGAGCGTGTTGGTGTCAACCTCTGGTCGGGGGGACGCCCCCAGACCAGCGCCCCCAAAAAAGCCCCTCGGATGGCCTCGCGAGGCTCCCGCGCGGGAGCTCCGCGCGGGAGCTCTCCTGAGACTGGCCAGGAGATGGCCTCACCGGCCGCCCACAGGGCCCCACACGAGGACCGGCCTGGGCCTCATGGGCCGATCGGCGAAGACCGAGGACGCGATCGTGAATCTCAAGGACTCAGCTGCCCCGATACGCAGCACGCAACACGTGGCGTATGATACGGAGCTCCGCACGTAGGCTGAAAACGTAGGTCTGACGCGATGCCTTCGCCAAAACGTGGGCCAATGAGTTGAGTGAGCCAACACTCAACGTATCGACACGGACGTTTTGAGCACGGTGCGCTTTGCGTATCCAAATGGGGACCTGCCCGGGCAGGTCCTCGCCTATTTTTTTATTAAGAAGAAGATAAACCCATGAGATAAAATGAATTTCTTAGCAATCAGCTATTTCTTAGGAGTTAATATTTTAATAGCCCATTCATAGAAAATACGATTACTACAACGATAAGAAATTCTCAGGATTACAACGATTATTACGACTATATTACAATTCTCAACGATTAATACGATTATTATTACAACGATTATTACAACGATTATTACAACGATAAGAAAATACGATCTAAGGCAGCCAAGCGAGGACCTGCCCGGGCACGGTCCAAGGGGCGGTACGGCCCATGGAGGGCACACCACCAAAGGAAAGCTCCCAAAGAAGACTCCACGGGATTACCCATCGGTCGTTGAAAGTAGGTATTTTTGGATTTCCAGATTCCAATCTACTTCCAGCGCCTTCCTACTTCAAGAGTCGAGTGGTTTTCCTTCTTCCTTCCTCTTCAGGAGGCGTGCGGAAACCCAATCTATTTCCAACGCCTTCCTACTTCATGGGACGCACAGAGACATACTAATACTATATGTCCGCCTTGGAGGCGCGCGTCCGACCCGAACATATAGTATACCCATCTTGTAGTATATCGTTTCTCGAGCGGTGTGGCCAGAAAGCGCCCGCCACGACGCATATACTACAAGATTTCTCGGTGCGCGCGTCGCCCCTGGGGGGGCGACGAACACATAGTATAAGTATGTTGGGGTGTTGCCGATTTCACAGTGCAAGGCGGGAAAAGTGAACCGACCCTGCCTGTCTGGGGTGCATGCACACTTGTGAAATATTCTCAAAAACATCTCCGACTCGAAGCCATCAACACATGAAAGGCGACTGGAGCCCTAGCCCAAACAAATGGAGCAAGAATAGCACGAAGTCGCATGTCGAAGTCGCATGTATGGATAAGAAGAACGTGATGATGGGATCGGTATGATTTGGCTACCGCTGCCAGCCCACGATGGCATCCGGGAGATTTAGATACGCGCGCACAACTATAGCATGATTGAGCTCACCGTCCGCGCGATGCTCATCCACTCGGCAGACTCGGTCTCGTTGGCCTAATCGCGGGGGGCAGGGGGTGCTGAATTACGCAGCGCGGCAACGACGGCGGCAGCGGCGGATTCAACTCCGCTTCCTCTGGTCATCCTCCGCCTAGTCCTGCTCTGACTACCCACCAAGCCACCCCAGCCCAACCCGAAGTCGCCGTTGGGCCTGACAATTTCCGGCGGGGGCCCATCCTAGAGCAGTGAGGAAACACAGTGGAACCCGCACGACCCCAGGAAGCACGACCGATCGCAACCACTTCGGACCGATCGTCAACTACTTCGGACCGATCGCAACCAGTTGCGATCGGTCCGAAGTGGTTGCGATGTTTTTGGGTCGTTTCAATGAGGTTTGATCAAGGAAGAGGTCATAAGAGCGCTTCTGAGTGCAATGAGCTCCCTTAAGCCGCCCAATGGGAATCTGAAAACGCGGTTGCGATCGGTCCGGTCACAGACGGCCGATCATGATCTCAGCTGAACACATGCACTTGAGCTCGAATGTGGCCATGATCCGTATACGATTCCTATGTGATTCGTAAACGATTGAAAACGAAACTGAGCGAAAACACCCGGCGTGAAACAAATTGCATCTCAGGAGGGGAAGGAGGAGGAGGAGGAGGAGGAGGAGGAGGACGAGGAGGAGGAGGAGGAGGGAGGAGGAGGAGGAGGAGGAGGGGAGGAGGAGGAGGAGGAGGAGGAGGAGGAGGAGGAGGAGGAGGAGAGGAGGAGGAGGAGGAGGAGGAGGAGGAGGGGGAGGAGGAGGAGAAGGAGGAGGAGGAGGGGGAGGAGAAGGAGGAGGAGGAGGAGGAAGAGGAGGAGGAGGGAGGGCGGAGGAAGGGAGGAGGAGGGGACGGAGGAAGGGCAGGAGCAGGAGGAGCAGGAGCAGGAGGAGGAGGAGGGGGAGGAAAAGAAAGAGTGCAGGATGGCAAGGCGGGTAGACGCGGCGGCACAGACCCCCAAGGTCATGACTTTTCCAGAACGTCGACCCCCAGAGGTCTGGACAAATTCCCCTGCGGTGGGTTCGTGCGGCGTCGGCACTCGCAAGGCTTTTGGCACCGCGTCGGTTGTTCAACCTTGAATCGATCGCGGCCCCGATCGTTCAAGGTTGAATTTCGTCGGGTAAAGTGGCCCCACCGTGTCCCTCGGTGCGCGAAGCCTCTCAGAGAAGCCTCTCAGAGAAGCCTCTCAGAGAAGCCTCTCAGAGAGCCTCTCAGAGAAGCCTCAGAGCAGCCTATCAGAGGCCTAAGAGAAGCCTACCAGAGAAGCCTACCAGAGAAGCCTCTCAGAGGCCTGAGAGAAGCCTTTCAGAGGCCTCAGAGCAGCCTATCAGAGAAGGCGCTCAGAGGCCTCAGAGAAGCCTTTCAGAGGCCTCAGAGCAGCCTTTCAGAGGTCTCAGAGCAGCCGATCAGAGGCCTCAGAGAAGCCTATCAGAAGCCTCAGAGAAGCCGATGAGAGAAGGCTCAGAAAGGCCTCAGAAAAGCCCCTGAAAGGCTTCAGGGAAGCCTCTGAAAAAGGCTTCAGAGAACCCTCTGAAAGGTTTGAGAGAAGCCTCTGAAGAGCTTCAGAGAAGCCTCTGGGAAGCCTCAGAGAAGCCTCTGAAAGGCTTCAGAGAAGCCTCTGAAAAAAAGGCTTCAGGGAAGCCTGTGACGGCTTCAGAGAAGCCTCTGAAAAAAAGGCTCCAGAGAAGCCTCTGACAGGCTTCAGAGAAGCCTCTGACAGGCTTCAGAGAAGCCTCTGGAAAGTCTCAGATGAAAGGCTTCAGAGAAGCCTCTGAAAGGCTTCAGAGAAGCCTAAAAAGGCTTCAAGGAAGCCGCTGGAAAGGCTTCAGAGAAGCCGCTGGAAAGGCTTCCGAGAAGCCTATGAAAAGACTTCAGAGAAGCCTCTGAAAGGCCTCGCTGAGGCTTCTGGGATGCCTCTCAGAGGCCTCCCAGAGGCCTCTCAGAGAGCTCTGCAGAAACTCCGCAGAAGCTTTTGGAGCGGTGGCAATACGGTGTTCTTCAGAAAGGTTTGTATAGGAATCCGTTAGGTTGCGATCAGTCCGTTTCCAGTGGTTGCAATCCGACCGAAGTAGATCCTGAACAATCCGAAGTGATTGTAGTCGGTCTTATTCCCGTACACCCACCAACCCAGAAGTTGTGGGGGTATGGGACCTTCGGATTGGGTCGGGGTGTTTTGGCGAGTAGTAATGCGCCCTCAGAGACTGAGGGATCCCTAACATCTGCATCAAGATAAGGCGACGCCAAGCATAGGCATCGGAATACGTTACAGGCTGGTAGGCCCAGTCCTACTCATCGTCCCCTACCTCCGCACAGCATGTCCAACCCGCGGTGTCGACTCTGCGAGCAGGAGGGCGGCGGACTACTACCACCACTCCTCGCCCGCTCCTGCCCCAAGCCTCTGCAAAACTCGCAAAAACTTCCTTTGAGACCCCTTATCAGCATCATCTCGGCTGTTCCCGTCAGTCCCCTGCCTGCAAAGCCAGTATCTCTAGGTCCAGGTTAGGAGCTCACTCTTGGCACTGGACGGGGCTGGGGCCGAGGAGCTCACTCTTGGCACTGGACGGGGCTGGGGCCGAGGAAGACTGAAGCGAGTCAAAGACAGGAGCAAGCTGATGGCTGAAGGTGGATGGAAGGCACACCGTACGCCTGGAGGTGCGTGGGTGATCTTGGCTTGGCATGAAGCTGCTGGGCAAACGACAGGCAGGAAAAGCGGACAAGATGGGAATCGCACGAGGGGACGCACGAGGCTGATCAAGGGGGGAATGGTGGAGACGCTGTAATTGCCGACGGTTGGCCATGCGAGCTTGCGACGGGTGAAGGCCCAAGGAATGAAGGCCGCACGCGAGCACAGGACAACTAGCGGCAAGAAACGAAGCGCACGTATAACAAGATGCAGGGTGCCTTTGCTGCTGCAAGCAAGATCTCCAATTTCTCTTTCACCTGTTGACATGCTGATGGGGGGATGAGCGGGGCAAGTACTACGATGTCACAGGCACCCACGGCATCGGCAATGCAAGGGTCGGCGGGGTAGTGTCAAACGATCTAGCTTCGTAGACAATATAGACGCACGGCACCGCCCAGAGGAGCACCTTGAAAGCCAGGGCACTACAAGTTGGAATGCAGGACAGGTCGAAGGACCAACAGGGACAAGTAAGGCAGTGAGCGAGATCTGATTCGGGCGTGAAGTTCTCATCACAGGCGCGAGAATTTTCACAACGACAGGCTCAACTTCGAAAGGAGTCGGATTTAAAGCACACAATGCTCAAGATGTGATGCACCTGCACGCTGCCGAACACTCGCATGACCAAGTGAGCATACCACATTGTGAATTACGTGCCTATGCCCGCCACCTTCAAGCGAGAGACGTACACGAACTCCATGAGTTTGCTGCAACTCATCGTGGCCGTGTTCATATCGCCCGCGGAGCCCCCTCCATCCACTGAAACGGGTCGCGCACAGTACTCGTCCTCCAGCACCGTGGTGTCAAAGCCAACGACATGAGCAACTGGCCGGCGGACAGTGTACGCAAAACACCCACACGACTTCACTCATGCACATGGAGGCTATTGAATTCGCCGGCCCAACGGGCCACAAGCGTGCTACGAACTCCGCTAACTGGTATACAATTTTCTAGTTCGCCCGCGTGGGGCGGCCCTTGGGGGCCCTCGAACGTGAAGTACCGGGACAGGTTCCGGCAAGGTGAGACTCAGAGATGGTTTTCCTCCTCGGCGCTGCCTAGGCTTTCCCGAGCGCCCCAGGATCGCTCCAAGAGAGCCCCGGGACGTGCTCCAGACGGTCCGAGGGGCCCTCGGTCGCCGCCAAACGGCCACAGACGCCGCCAAGAAGCCCCAGGAGAGCCTCAAGAGGCTCTCCTAGAGAGCCTCAACAAGCAAAAAGTGCCCCATTCCCTTCAGAAAACGTACATTTTGCGCGTATGCGACGTTTCGAGGTCCAGCGCGTCCAACACTGCCCACGAGACCTTCAAGATCGCCCCAACACGGCCCAACATGGGCCCAACACGGCCCATGTTGGGCCCCAAGACGTCCCACGAGGCCCCCTGGACAGCCCTAGACAGCCCTACGCGCGGCCCCACCGGGGGAGCTCGAATTGAATTTTCCAGCTTACCGACCCGCACGATCGTCCCAAGACGCCCAAGATGGCCTCCAGACGGCCGAAGACGCCGCCAAGGTGCCCACATACGACGTTTCGAAGTCCGGCGCGTCTAACACTGCCCACGAGACCTTCCAGATTGCCCCAAGACGGCCCAATACATTCCCAACATGCGCCCCACACGGCCCAAGAGGGCCCCAAGACGGCCCACGAGGCCCTCTGGACAGCCCTAAGAAGAGCCCCATCGGAGGAACACGAACCCCACCAGCTCTTTAGGACGGTGGTTTAGGGTGTTTCCTGTTCCACCCCCTTCTTCCCCTTCACGGAGGGGTTTATTACTATTCCCTATGAATTATCCCGGCAAAGCAACCTAACAGCGATGTGTAGGAGCATATCTGGAAGCATTCCCCTTAAGATTCAGATAAGAATCCTGTTGTAGAATTCTGCTGTTCTCGCAGTCGCGGTCGCATTCGCAATGGCAGTCGCAGTGGCAACAGCAGTCGCAGTCACAGCCTCAGCCTCAGCCTGCCTCAGCCTCAGCCTCAGCCTGCCTCAGCCTCAGCCTGCCTCAGCCTCGCCCTCAGCCTGCTTCAGCCTCAACATCAGTCTGCCTTCAGCCTCGGCCTCAGCCTGCCTCAGCCTCAGCCTCAGCCTGCCTCAGCCTCAGCCTGCCTCAGCCTCGCCCTCAGCCTGCTTCAGCCTCACCTCAGTCTGCCTTCAGCCTCGGCCTCAGCCTGCCTCAGCCTCAGCCTGCATCAGCCTCAGCCTCAGCCTCAGCCTGCCTCAGCATCAGCCTGCCTCAGCCTCAGCCTCAGCCTGCCTCTGCCTCAGCCTCAGCCTGCTTCAGCCTCAGCCTCAGTCTGCCATCGGCCTCGGCCTCAGCCTCAGCCTGCCTCAGCCTCAGCCTGCATCAGCCTCAGCCTCAGCCTCAGCCTGCCTCAGCATCAGCCTGCCTCAGCCTCAGCCTCAGCCTGCCTCAGCCTCAGCCTCAGCCTGCTTCAGCCTCAGCCTGAGTTTGCCTGCAGCCTCGGCCTCAGCCTCAGCCTGCCTCAGCCTCAGCCTGCCTCAGCCTCAGCCTCAGCCTCAGCCTGCCTCAGCATCAGCCTGCCTCAGCCTCAGCCTCAGCCTGCCTCAGCCTCAGCCTCAGCCTGCTTCAGCCTCAGCCTCAGTCTGCCTTCAGCCTCGGCCTCAGCCTCAGCCTGCCTCAGCCTCAGCCTGCATCAGCCTCAGCCTCAGCCTCAGCCTGCCTCAGCATCAGCCTGCCTCAGCCTCAGCCTCAGCCTGCCTCAGCCTCAGCCTCAGCCTGCTTCAGCCTCAGCCTCAGTCTGCCTTCAGCCTCGGCCTCAGCCTCAGCCTGCCTCAGCCTCAGCCTGCCTCAGCCTCAGCCTGCCCTCAGCCTCAGCCTCAGCCTCAGCCTCAGCCTGCCTCGGCCTCAGCCAGCCTCAGCCTGCCTCAGCCTCAGCCCTCAGCCTCAGCCTCAGCCTCAGCCTCAGCCTCAGCCTGCCTCAGCATCAGCCTGCCTCAGCTCAGCCTCAGCCTCAGCCTCAGCCTCAGCCTCAGCCTCAGCCTGCTTCAGCCTCAGCCTCAGTCTGCCTTCAGCCTTGGCCTCAGCCTCAGCCTGCCTCAGCCTCAGCCTGCATCAGCCTCAGCCTCAGCCTCAGCCTGCCTCAGCCTCAGCCTGCCTCAGCCTCAGCCTCAGCCTGCCTCAGCCTCAGCCTCAGCCTGCTTCAGCCTCAGCCTCAGTCTGCCTTCAGCCTGGCCTCAGCCTCAGCCTGCCTCAGCCTCAGCCTGCATCAGCCTCAGCCTCAGCCTCAGCCTGCCTCAGCATCAGCCTGCCTCAGCCTCAGCCTCAGCCTGCCTCAGCATTCAAAATGTGGCCCGGGAGTGGAGTTCTGGGAACTCGAAGAACACGAAGTGGCCTACAGTTGGCTCCGGGCATTCAAATTCATGCCCAGGAATGGAGTTCTGGGAACTCGAAGACCACGAAGTGGCCTACAGTTGGCTCCGGGCATCCAAAATCTGGCCCGGGAATGGAGTTCTGGGAACTCGAAGACCACGAAGTGGCCTACAGTTGGCTCCGGGCATTCAAAATGTGGCCCGGGAATGGAGTTCTGGGAACTCGAAGAGCACGAAGTGGCCTACAGTTGGCTCCGGGCATTCAAATGTGGCCCGGGAATGGAGTTCTGGGAACTCGAAGGAAGTGGACAGTTGGCTCCGGGCATCCAAAATGTGGCCCGGGAATGGAGTTCTGGGAAGTCGAAGAGCACGAAGTGTGTGACTGTTGCATCCGGTTATTCAGAATGTGGCCTGGGAATGGGGTTCTGAGAGGTCGACGAGCACGAAGTGTGTGACTGTTGGTGAAAAACGAGCCCGGCACAGGCCCGGCCGGCAACTCCCAACGCCTGCCCAGACCCCCCTGTGGAGTGATCTGTGAGCTCTTTTGAGTCAACTAGAAACCTATCAGTCTACGCTGTTAGGTAATAAACACCCCCTCCCCCATGCGACTGGAAGCCAACCAAGGACAATGCGGGCACCCCCACGCCATCTCTTATAACAAACAATACGAAGCACACTACGCCTCCAAATTCGGAGCATGCGCAACCAACCCGATGCGGTCTCACCCCACCACCCCTGTCAAAAAATTATCCCGGCAAAGCAACCTAACAGCGATGTGTAGAAGCATATCTGAAAGCATTCCCCTTAAGATTCAGATGAAAATCCAGTTGTCGAATTCTGCTGTTCTCGCAGTCGTAGTCGCATTCGCGATGACAGTCGCAGCGGCAACGGCAGTCGCAGTCACAGCCTCAGCCTCAGCCTGCCTCCTCCTCCTCCTCCTCCTCTTTCTCCTGCTCCTCCTCCACCTCCTCCTCCTCCTCCTCCTCCTCTTCCTCCTGCTCGTCCTCGTTCTCGTCCTCCTCGTCTTGCTCGTCCTCCTCCTCCTGGTGCTCTCTCCTCCTCCTCCTCCTCCTCCTCCTCCTCCTCCTCCTCCTCCTCCTCCTCCTCCTCCTCCTGGTGGTCCTCGTTCTCCTCCTCCTGGTGCTCTCCCCCCCCCTCCTCCTCCTCGTCCTCCTCCTCCTCCTCCGCCTCCTCGTCCTCCTCCTCCTCTTCCTCCTCCTCCTTCTCCTCCTCCTCCTGGTAGTCCTCCCCCTCCCCTCCTCCTCCTCTTCCTCTTCCTGGTCGTCCTCGTTCTCGTCCTCCTCGTCTTGCTCGTCCTCCTCCTCCTGGTGTTCTCTCCTCCTCCTCCTCCTCCTCCTCCTCCTCCTCCTCCTCCTCCTCCTGGTGGTCCTCGTTCTCCTCCTCCTGGTACTCTCCCCCCCCTCCTCCTCCTCCTCCTCCTCGTCCTCGTCCTCCTCCTCCTCCTCCTCCTCCTCCTCCTCCTCTTCCTCCTCCTCCTCCTCCTCCTCCTCCTCCTCCTCCTCCTGGTAGTCCTCCCCCTCCCCTCCTCCTCCTCCTCCTCCTCCTCTTCCTGGTCGTCCTCCTCCTCCTGGTCGTCCTCCTCCTCCTGCTCGTCCTCCTCCTCCTCCTGCTCGTCCTTTTTCTCCTGCTCCTCCTGCTCCTCGTCCTGCTCCTGCTCGTCCTCGTCCTCCTGGTCTTGCTCGTCCTCCTCCTCGTCGTGCTCTTGCCCCTGCTGAAAATGTGGCCCAGGAAAGGGAGTTCTGGGAAGTCGAAGAGCACGAAGTTGCCTACAGTTGGCTACGGGCATTCAAAATGTGGCCCGGGAATGGAGTTCTGGGAACTCGAAGAGCACGAAGTGGCCTAGAGTTGGCTCCGTGCATTCAAAATGTGGCCCGGGAATGGAGTTCTGGGAACTCGAAGAGCACGAAGTGGCCTACAGTTGGCTCCGGGCATTCAAAATGAGGCCCGGGAATGGAGTTCTGGGAACTCGAAGAGCACGAAGTGGCCTACAGTTGGCTCCGGGCATCCAAAATGTGGCCCGGGAATGGAGTTCTGGGATGTCGATGAGCACGAAGTGTATGACTGTTGCATCCGGCCCACCCAGAATGTGGCCCGGGAATGGAGTTCTGGGATCTCGAAGAGCATTTTGTGTGTGACTGTTGCATCCGGCCCCCCAGAATGTGGCCTGGGAATGGAGTTCTGGGAAGGCGAAGAGCACGAAGTGTGTGACTGTTGGTGAAAAACGAGCCCGGCTCATGCCGCCCGGAAACGCCCCAACACCTGCCCGGACCCCCCTGTGGAGTGATCTGTGAGCTCTTTTGAGACCACTAGAAGCCTATCAGTCTTCGCTGTTAGGTAATTATCCCGGCAAAGCAACCTAACAGCGATGTGTAGGAGCATATCTGGAAGCATTCCCCTTAAGATTCACATGAGAACCCAGTTGTAGAATTCTGCTGTTCTCGCAGTCGCAGTCGCATTCGCGATGAAAGTCGCAGTGGC